ACCATTTTTAACACCTCCAAACCATGTTACAGGCTGAGAGAAAAATTAATTGGAAGAAATATTTCTTTCACTCTAACTGACGATTAAGAAATTAATAACGTTTAATGAGCTAAGAGAGAAAGGTACGAGATCCAAAGTCTAAGTTGACTACCTTTGTACTGTATTTCGCTTTCCTTTTTTTCCAAAAAACTGCAAGCTTGCGGGGATACCTAATTGAGGAACAAAACACGAATGTCAGCATAATGTGAAAAAGTTGCCATAGTTAACCATATTTCTGTTCAGTACGGATTCTACCCTTGTATAAGCGATTGGCGTTTTACGATTCAAGGGCTGAGATGCGCTTACATCTTTTGTTCTTTTGGAATACGACAAAAGGCAAAGAAATACATCGTATCTTCAAGGCGTCCGCCACGATGTCTTTATGCCAAGACTGGTAACTAGTAAAACTTACCCCTCCCTCCCCCTCGTTGTCAATAAGTGACAGTTATCAAAAACTTTCTCTTGCAGCACTGCCGTGAAAAATACCAATTAGCTTAGTATTTGTTTTTCACCGAGTCTTGCAACTTCAAAGAGCAAACAATATTCAGTTTGGGGAGAGACCCTTTGTTTCTGTTGCTTAAGTCTCACGCGGTATTCAACAGTGAAATCGAACTCAACCAAATTCTAGAACGCATATTTTTTTCCTCAATTCAATTAATCGTAGTGAAATTTATATTATTTCCGAAATTGCATGCTTCGTCAGAGTTTAACTTTTGATCATTTTATAATCAGAAAAGTAAAAAAGAATTTGACTCTAGTGAGACAAACAGCTTCGAAGACTAAACTCTTTATAGAAAAGAGAGAAAGAAAATACTTTATCGTGTCCCTTACCACTTTTTCTTGCGTAATTCAACATTTAATAGTGAAACAGATGCTGTGATCAAAAAATTATCGGCTCTTTCTTTTTCCCGATGGAACGGTATGGGAACACAAGCCATTACTGCTTCTCACAAAATCTCTCAGATGAACTCCAAGGATCTCTGCTTCGTTCATTGTGATGTCATGTTGCCATGAAAATAATTGCTTCGAATGCGTTGCGCGCGCTCAGTGCACTACATTAGAGTGGTTTAGCAAGAGGGCGGGAACGTCATTTCAGAACAGCGCGCGCAGCAAAAATGCCGAGAAAAAACTGGGTCCAGAACGCCGTCGCGTTTTGTTGAAAAGTGACTTAGCAGTCGTTTCAACGAACCGTCCACGTTATATTTGTTCTTGAATATCCTAACCTTGGCTCTTTAGGATCATTATTAGCTTTGAATTTTCTGTTTCATAGACTACTTGAAGGACAACGAAATTATCATTTTTGAGAGTGTAACAAACACAAACCGAGGATAGTTTACTACAAGTGAGTGTTTGATATGAATCCACATGGGCGATTTAACTTTGAAATTATTTCATTCCAGTTAAGTCTCGAGTCTGCAGATTCATCAAACAAATTTTGAAGCCCACTAAATATCTTCTTTTCTATGATTTGTATCGCTGTCATTTCGTTTCGTGCTTCTAGATTTCAGCACTACTCGTTTTTCTTCAAAATGTTGTAAAATATAATTTGGAATTGAAATCGTCGCCGTTTTTTCCCTTGTTTACTGAATATTCTTCTCAATCATGACAGTACACCTCTTTTAAGCACCACCTTCTTAGAGTTGCAATGCATTTTGAACGGAGTTGTGGCGAAAACATGTAGAGATCAAGCGACCCAACGATGGAGTTGTTTACAATGAGTTCCCGTTTAACCATGAACGAATGCAATGCACTCAAACTAGTCACCAACGAAACGGTTAGACTGAGGAATCAGAATTCGTTCCTGTTTTATTTTGTTTTTGTTTAATTTAATTTTTTAACGAATAAAGTCGTTCAAGACTGAATCAAATCAATAGATTTAGAAAGCCGTGCCGAAATCAAGTTGATTGTTATTTTATTTCGTAGGTGACTTTCTTGTCTAAGTTTTCACCGGCGCTAAAGACATAAAATAGTGCAAACCCGAGCTATTCTCAATTTTTTTTATCTCTGACTTCAAATAGCAGAACACTTTTTAATCACGGTTAAAACGACAATGACAACAAATATCACTGAATAATATAGCAGGTAACCTTCGTGTTGTTTCCCGTCCTCTTGCTAAACCACTCTATTGACTGAGGCCGGTTGGAATAACTTAAAATTTCTCCATAACAGTTGAAGTAGAAGTAGCTAAATGAGGAAAATAGTTGTATTTGGGCAAAAAAATGTCCTCCTCTTTACATTTCCTCACTCGTGTACCATTATGGCTTTAAAGTCGATTCATAACGATTTAGGTAATTGTATTTTTTGTGTTTTCCTATTTCCTATTTATTCATAAAGGAAACATTTAACAGTCAGCTGATACAAGGCTGACACTTTGGTTGAAAAAAGGCGTGCATTAGTATCCTCTTAACCTTGCCTCTCCCCCTTCCGATCTGACCCTCTCGTTTGAACAAACCAAATTCTTACAGTGTACGGAGAGATGTGAGGTGTGATAACAATACTGAACAAACTCCTAGCCATAATAGTTTAAACTTTTTCCCCTTCCCACCTTAGACCGCCCTAAAAATACAATTAAAGACAGAATCACAAACTGGACACCGAACGCGAACGTTCCTGTAATTTTAATTCTCACTAAGTCATATTTTAACATTAGAGGCACTGAATGAAAACTTGTCAATACGATAGCAATTTTGTTTTACTCCGGTGATACAAGGACGCCCTTACAAATAGCTCTTACTACTAAGCTCGTAGCTACGCCGCAATTTGGAATAATGACTAAAATGAATAAAATGTGGTTATTCCTATTTAGCTGTTGCTTAATAGGATTTTTTTTTGAGTAATAAAAAGTTCAGTTCTTTGCCATGTCAACCGTTTGGCTTTTTTAATAATCTTCCACCCTTTCAATTGAGTTCTTGTCGATCTGAGCTAGGCCAGTTGACCATGTAAACCGGTCAAAACTGGAAAAAATGGCTACCATTCTCATCAAAACCGTAAAAACAAGGTCATGAATCGTTCAAATCTGAAATGCCTATGAGGGTAACAATCCAAACCGAGGTGAGGGTATGGTGACTAATGGGAATAATGAAACACGAGAAATTGCTTTTTTATTGGCAAATCAACAGCAAAAGGACGAGAAGATGGACTTTATAAAAGACTTAAGAAAAGTCGTGTTTTTTTTTTCATTTACATTTATTTACAATTACTACAAATCAAGGTAAAATAAGGAAATAGCGAAAAAAATCGCAATAAAAAATAGGCAACTCAATATGTTCACAATTGAATCAAAGATGATCTCGTGTCAATTTGAAAGAAAAAAACTAAGGCGATTACGTTACTCCTTACCTTGGTGAAGTAATGGCGTGACGTTATACTCAATGAGTCCCAGTCTCCTTGTCTTAGCATTCGGTTAATCATCAGCACTGCTATGGATTGATCGCAAAGAAAAGTGAGGCATGCAGCCAGAAAACCACCCAACATAACCCACAGCGTTCGAATCGCTGTTAATACAGGTGGAGGAAAAGGGCAATGTTATTCAAAAAGAAAAAAAAGGAAGGAAAAACGAAAGAAAGAAGGAAAAGGAAACGAAAACAACCCAAAATAATAAAAGAGGAGAAAAAAGGATGAGAAAATTGTAAAAAGAGATTCCAAACCCAAATTACAAAATACCTAAAAAAACCTAAGTTAAAATTGAAAATACGGGTTAACTTAAAAATTATAAAAGTACCTAGAGATATATAACCTACCCACCTAAAATCAAACAAAAAAGCGGAAAAAAAAACAGAAAAAGAAAAGAGAAGTACGAACAAAAAAAATGTGCAGTGCCAAAGGTGAAGTATTCAGTTACGTGCAGTGATCTTGTAACAGCTTACGTCACTTTCATTACAAATGATCCTATATCAGCGCATCTGATTGGAAGAAAACAAAGTCTTCACCTTAGATCTATCTACCTTCACCTTTGAAATAAAACGTAATCAAAATAAAAGATAACAGGGTCGTAATGAAAAGAAACCTTGTTAGATCTTTTGTCCGTGACCCTGAACTTAAGATATTACATTCACAAAAGAGGTATTTATACTCATAAAATAGTTCTGAGCAATTGAAAAAAAGACGAGAAAAAATAAAGATAGTTACTTACGTTAAAAAATGAAAATTTTTACAACAATAGAAATTATTTGAATTCATAGTAGTTATTCATAGTAGTCACATGAAAATTTGTTTGACAAATAAAGTAATCTCATGATTCAAGGATAATATCTGAATGATTTTCTAAGAGAAAGAATTTTACATTGAAAAATGAAACTGCTCAGAATTTAGAGATTTACAAAGGATTTTTAGCAAGAGATTATAATCTCTTGTTCTTAGCCACTTACCAACATGTTACAATACAAGCCAGACCAGAAATAAGGAAAAAGTTGTGAAATCGAAACTGCAAAAGGAAAGGAAAGTAAAAACAGAATTAGCCATTGTTATTTATAATAAAGTCTCTTAAATCAAAATAATCCAAATGATTCGTGGCAAACTTATTATAGAATGGAAAGTAAGATTACAAGAAGAGAACCAAAAGCATTTCAACTGAATTAAAATACAAGTTTCCTACTTTTAACGCAGTTTGTTATTCAGGCCATGTTGGTCAAGTTGAGGATAAGATCCAGGACATTCTTTTCCTGATCTTTGTGTTCTTTGGTTTTCTTCCAACCTGCCGCAGAAAACGTTATAAAACATCACTCACCATACGATAGCAAAAAAATAAAAGATTGCATATAAAAAACCCAGGTGTTGGTAACAGAACACTTGTTTAACATTATACAAAAAAAAAATTTAGCATTATCACATTGAAGAAATAACGAAACTGATTCTTACCTTTGACTTCAAACAGGTATTTAAGGTCCTGACGTAAGAACATCAAACACTCTTTCCGGTTTTGTTGTCTGGAACTAAAAACAACAGAGACGAAAGATAAGGCTTTAATACGATAAACTTTCAAATGGAAATACAATGCAAGGAATTAAAATGCTTAATGAAAAAAAGGAGTGCTTATATGTGGTTAATTTAAATCATTCGTTCTGGTTATTGAATATGTATTACCATAATTTGGCATATTGACTTGTTCCCAACTATCGAGCAAGGTTTAAAACAGCTTTATAAGGATAAGATGTACTTACAGAGTGAGAAGGTCTTGCTTCCTTTCGTCAAGTTCAGAACGGAACTTATTTAGCGCTAACCAGTCAAGTGATAAGCTTTCAAACTCGGCCTCACAATCTAAAAGGGGAAATTAAAGAAGGCTGCATTTAATTTGTGTTTAGTTAGTTACATGCATCACCCTCTATTTGGCGCGACGGTATACCCGGATAATTGTTTCCAGACTTTACCTCTTCCTAGGAGAGAAACTGTTTTTCTTTAGCGTTGCGTGGGAGAAACCAAGCACTTTGAACCCCGAAAGATTCCTCTCAACTAACAGGATAGTTCGGCTGTTATTTGACGAAAGTGAACAGTTGGAAAGGTTCGAAGCTAGGGATTCAGGATAGTGGCTCTCGAAAATCACTGTTCTGCACTTTTGTAGCAAACATCTTAGTTTTTATATATTGACTCATGCAAAGGTAAAAAATAGAAAACTAACCTTCAGTGTCTATTGCTTCTTTCATCTCCAGTTCCAATTTAACCATTACCTTGTGCAATGAAAGCAACTCGTGTTCGACAACCTGAATCTCTGTCTCCACATAAATAGCCAACTCAGGGAACTGATTGCTTACGATGGCAGCTAAAGATATCAGAAAATACACGTGCTTAAATAATGAAAAGGGCAGGCGAATGTATACACATTCTGTTTAAGTTGATATTGAACCAATCAAATATGTTTGGTTATGAGCAATCAAAGCACAAGCAACAGTCAAGAATAAAGGTTTACTTGGGCGCAGATGGGAATGTTTCTAATGACTCTCTTCGCCGGTTCGGTGGATAAAGATGCACTGTTTTAAAATACTTTCCGCTCATTAGGATCTATTTCTGTGGTATGCCTACAGAACAACTTACCACAGCTGTGTCCACCCTGGCACTCTTCCATAGCAATTACTTCCTCGGAAGGTTGTACTTGCTTGATAATTGATCTCTCGCCCACATTTGAACAATCTTTAGCAGTCGAAGCATCAAGGTTTGTTGATTCGATACTTGCAGGAACATTATCCTTGTTTGTGAAAGGGAGATCGTCAGGAGATACCTTATCAGATGGGAATGACTGGGCCTTTGAGTCACCAGAAGCTTCTCGGTCAACCTGTTCGTCTTTTTCATTGCTGGCAGCCAAGCCTTGTAATGTAGTCTTTACATTTATCTCTTCTATTGTAGCTGTGTTCACCACAAACTGAATATCTTCCAATGAAGAAACAGACCACATGTCAGAAGTATCGGTCGACTCCAAGATTGACGAACTATTTTCCCCATCGGTATCATTTGATGGATTGTGTTCCATTTTGTATTTTTCACCATTCGATTCTTTCCGTTTTGTTCTACGCCTTTGACCACGAGTATTAGAGGGCTTGTTGCGCATGTCATCAGCATCACTGGATGAGATGTCTCCCATTTTGTATTCCTCATTCGTGGATTCTCTCCGTTTTCTTCTACGCCTTTGACGACGAGTACTGGAGGGCGTCTCGCTCATCTCATAAGTATCATTAAATGGATTATTTTCCATCGGGTACTCTCCACTTTTAGAGTTCTTCCGTCTTCTTTTATGCCTTCGGCGACTAGCGCTGGAGACCTTCCCGCTGTTCTGGGACAAGCAGTCATTATCGGTGGTACCGTTGAAATTTGAAAACGGGTTTAGATCCTTTGGATAGTGGTGCATCTCGTTTTCCTTCTTCTTAACACTTGTGGTATCACTCTTTTTCCCAGACTGCTTCATATTCGGTGGAGGGGGGCGAGGTGGAGCCGCCTTACGAGTTCGTGGTTGACGCGGTGGAGGTATCGGAGGAGAGGGACGGGCTGAAACAGGACGAGGTAAACCAGATTGAGATGGACTGGTATGAGAAACGGAAGGCCTCTCAGAGAGAGGCAGCGGTGGAAGTGGAGCTTTCCTTTTGACCTTTGTTGGTCCTGATCTTGTTTTATTGCGGCCTCGACACGAAACCGCCGGAGAACTATTACCCTTAGTGTCAGCACCAGCTTTCGCTTCCTTCTTTTTCTCATGGTTTCCAACGACGCTTGACAATGGAGCAAGAGGAGCAGCATTGACCTTTGTGGTGGCCACCTTCGAACAGGCAGCAGCACTGGTAACATCGCCATCGCACTTTTCCTTTCGGAAACTCTTTAAGGATCTTGGACGCGACAGTCTCCTGCTTTCTTCCCTGATGGTATCTTTCTTGTCTGGGAGACTGCAAGATAATCACAAAGGTACAGTGAATTCAAGTAATCAAAACGTTCCCTTAATATTCTAAAAGAGCAAGAAGTAACACTTTGACTCAATTTTTTATGAACTTGCTTTATATCTAAGCCTTCCTTGAAAATGGAGTTTCGAAAATTTGGGATCTTGTGATCTTCACATCAGTCTATCAGAGGTTTTCAGTTTCATTTTTCTGAGTCTCAATTGCCGTCATATCCCCGCGATTTCCAAAAATCATTTCATTGGCCTCTTTAAACTGAGATTTAGCGCGCGTCGATGAAACTAAAAAAGCGCAAGTTAAGTGGTAAATTGCTTGGAGTCATTCAGTTTTTGTCCCAGACTTAAAAACAAACTGTTGGTTTTTTTTCTTTTGCGTGTTTTCTTTTGTAGCGACTGCTTTATTCTCTTGCCGTACCAAAAGCGCAAATAGAAAAAGAAACTCCACCTAAATCTAACATGCCTACATTTATCGGTGATCTTTCCCGATGAGTTTTCTACTCTTTTTTTCTCCACTTACCATTTGTCTTTGGCACATTTCACAGTCGGAGAAGAAACCGAAGCTCTCAATTGTAATTCTTGATAATTTTTACTTGGACTTATTCCACGCATTTTCTTCAAAAAACTCATGATTGCTTACTTTTGTTCAAAACGATCACATGCGTTTCAGAGGAATGAAAATCTTCTGTTTGTCCATTGTGATGTCATGTAGCCATGACGATAGCTTCTAGTCTCATTCCCAGTGTACCGCGCCACTGTAAATAGTTTTTTCATTTTTCACTAGAACGAAAGCTATGACTTGATTCAAAATAAATGATAAGTCGTCAAACTTCTGTATATCAAACTTCCTCCGTAACGAAAAAAGCCGTAATTGTTTTATACTGATGTGCACGCCGAAATACCGTTCAGTTAAGCGTGATGACGATGCGTAAAGCCAATATTAGATACTAACAGAAAATCACGTAAAAACTCTGAGACGTTTCAAAAATAAATAAACTGCTTGCAGTTTACTAGTTGGCCATATAGGAATGAAAATAAATGAGAAGTTTTGTTGTTCGGTTGATTTTCCTCGGAACACCAGCATTAAAGTTGACAGCGAAGTGAATCTAGCATGGATATTACAAATGCCGTTTTTTTTTAATTGTCTTTTTATTTGCATAATCGTTCCTAAAATACCACTTGGCCTTTTTGATTTCACTTTTTTATTTTTACAAGGGAGCTATAAAATCAAAATTGCCAAATTCACCAAAGACCAGACGCAGAAGTGTGAGTTTTGGGTGTTCCTTTTTGCAATTGCAATTTTCCCCATCCGTCCTGCCTTGGTAACCTTTCTTATATTCATGCGTGACGTGCGTGATCTGATCAACACTGTGGTTGACGTGTACCTTTGTTTAGTTTTTCTTTAACTCTTGATTATCAAAACTTTTTCGATTGCTTATTTTCAAGACTGTCAAAAGACTTTTTGAACGCTTTTTTTACAGCCAAATGTATTTACAAGTTTATTCAAATTGATAAGTTGAATTTATTTTTATTTACGGACTTTGGAGTCTAGCCTCTATCGGAACAGCGAGCGTTCAGGTAACTAGCTACAATAGACTTCGGTCAAAATGTTTCGACTCAAACATACCTAAATGAATAAATGGTGAGAAACCGGAAACTTGCCGTTGTGAACTGCGTTTTCAGAAAGTTGCCGAATCTTTGTAGGGTCTCACTCCTCTTTAGGCGTATCGTTCGTGTGTTGTTAGTTTTTCCAGAGATTTACTTAAGAGGAGTATCTAAAGCGTGGAACCCGTAATAAACGAAGTTTGTCATTATCGTTATAGTTCAATAGTTCGATATTAGGATGTCTATACAAGCTGCTCCATATCCATTCATTTGGTGTACGTAAAGAGGCAACGGCTTGTTGCTCAGGTGCTAGATTCTCGAGGCAAGCTTGCCTCGAGAAATTCAGCACCTGAGCAATAAGCCGTTCCCTCTCTACGTACACCAAATGAATGGATATGGAGCAGCTTGTTTAAAGATCCTATTACCAAAAGACTCTGGATGTGTGTTGACGGATCTCGAGTTAGTTATACTCGCTGGTACGATATGGAAACTAACGATTCAGGCGGAAAAGAGGATTGTGGACACATCATCTCCATTGAGAGGCGAAGAAGATGGAATGACTGACCTTGTGCAACTCTATCTTTGTGAAATGCGCGGTAAGCCTGAGGAGGCAGTGGTAGGTGCTCGCGCTGTCAGCTTACAGGGGTTTAGCCTAGGAGTTTTCAAGTTAATTGCTGATCATTCATTTGCTTTCGCTCACTGTCAAGTGGTTCTAGACAATGCAACTGCCCCAGGCTCCCGGTGCACAAAGAAATATTCATCACGCATACTAGCTTCAGTATGTTACGCACGCGAGGAAGTAATAGACCCGACAGCCTCGTTCCCAGGGTCCTTTTTCTTCGTCTCTCGAGAGAGGAAGAGAGGTTGGGAAAGAGAATGTAGCCTCGATAGGTTGAAATCCTATTTAAACTTCTGCGGAAAGTTTTAAGTTTGCACCAGGAGGCAAAATCTTCAGTAATTTGGGATGTGCACTCGTTGCCACACCGAAAAATACTGAGGCCGATTATTATAGTCTTTGACGACATTTGACCTGTATGAACCTGAATCGCTTTCTCTGCAGGAGATTTTCGACAGCAACAACTTGCCAGACGTGTACATGTGTCATGTGTCATGCTATCTCATGACCTGTGACGTAATTGAATTGAAGGGATTTCTAAATTCACCAGAAGTAATGCTATTTTTCCAGCCCGAGTGCAAATTTACGTTTTCTTGTTTCCAAAATTTTCTTTAAGCACTGGTGATGTTAAATGGAAATTTCAAACTTTGCCAGGTAATTGTGTTTGATTGAATAATACCCAGTAATAAACAATAAACTATCGCCTTCTTTATTTCTGCTCCCGCTTCCTTTCCTCGTGTAGATCCCGCTTCCCGCCCTCTCCCGTCCCTTGTTCTCCCGGGCTCCTGCCCCCTGTCCCCCTCCACGTTTCGATGACGGTGGTAAAATTAGCAACCAGGTGATTTTAATACCATGATTACACAGTTACGCAAATGTTTTTACCGTTTATGATTTTCCTTCTTTTAAAATCTTGCACAACAGTTCTAACCTGTGAAGTGGGGTGAAAGCTCTGAGTGGATAGTGGCCTGTGTATCGTATGGTACCATACATATCCTGATTATCACATTACTTGTTATCAGAATTGATCGACTAACAGGAGGCTCACAGCACAATCTGTGTATCTGAGCTCTCCGAGTGCCAAGTCGACACATGACAAGTGAGTTAAGCTGCTTGTCTTGCGATCGAAAAGTTATTGTTATATTTGGTGTCATAACCATTATTTCTTTGGTTTGTTTCTTTAACACTTGCGTCAAGATCTCTTCAATCTTAATAGGCTAAGGTAATTTTAAAACAGGACGATAGTCATCTTGTAAAACATAATCAGCCTGGCTCATCTAATAGTTCCCACATATCTCTCTCATTAGGTTGTAGTACTACATTTGGGGCGAGTTTTCTGGCCCAATCACTGAGGATGGTGAGGTAAAACTGTCGCAATCACGGATCACTTTAATCTCGACACTCACTTGAGTCGTGTAAATTTTCATAGTATGATGAAAGATATAAACCAATGTGATCACGAGGGTCAGTCAAGGAGCCAATGAGAACTATTAGTAAAGCTAAGCAAACTTCCCAAAGCGCGGGAAAATTGAGCAGCGACTAGTCTTAGTCTTGCATTTGGGGTGAGTTTTCTGGCCTAATCACCGAGAATGGTGAAGTAAAACTGTGGCAATCACGGATCACTTTAATTTCGACACTCAATCAAAATGGCCTCATGAACACAACAATGATCATCACCTACTTTACAACAACAAAGTTTATTAATACTTAACTTACAGGTTTTTCTTTTCATACTTTGAAGCCACTGTAGAATTATCTCAAAACCAACATTCATAAAAGAATATTATAAAATAATATGATAGGTAGCCAACAAATAATTACAGGTTTTTTCATACTTTGAAGCTACTGCAAAAATGATCTTAGTAGTAATGTACATACAAAAGTACTACAAATTAAAAGAAACCATCCAATAATAACAGGAAGTTATGAGCATAAACTTTAAACTCTTTTTTTTATTTATTTCGGAGCCACTGCATAATGACCTCAATACCAATGTCAGTACAAGAGTCTTACTTATAAAATGTATGTTATGCAACAAAGAAAAAAACTTCATGTGTGATTGACAAAAAAGACTGCAACTGCAAGAGTTTCAAGCTTAAATTAATGAGAAGGACTGACATGTCACAGATTTGAAAGGTCAAGTTGAATCGATTATGTCATTATTTCTGTGAGGTTAAGTTCTGAATATATATTGAAGTCACACTGATTGTCTCTCAGTCTCCATTACAATGTGTTCCCCCAACATCAGCACCAATACTGATTCACTTATAAACCAAACTGCCACATGTGTACATGTAACCACTTAGCA